GTCCTCTGTGGGTACTGGACAACACAAGTGTATCCACATATATGCAGGCATAACGCTCATACACATAAAAATTCTTTATTATTATTTTGTCTTTTTGAGACAGGGTCTCCCTGTAGCCCCATCAGGACTGGAACTCACTATGTAGACCAGGCTGGCCTCGAACTCACAGAGATCCACCTGCCTCTGCCTCCCAAGTGCTGGGATTAAGGGTGTGAGCCACCACACCCAGCTTTGTTGATTATTTTTATTTATGTAAGTGAACCTGTATTGTGCAATACCCATGGAGATCAGAAGAGGGCATTGGATCCCATGGAACTGGACTTACGGATGGTTGTTAGCTGCCATGTGGATGCTGGGATTCGACTAACCCTAACCCTGGTCTTCTGCATGAGCAGTCAGAGCATCATTGCATACAAGGTACTGGAGGCTGTTCTGCTTCTGGGCAAAGAGGGCTTGCTAGCATGGACATCTGCATCTGTGTGAGGGTGGTGGTCATGAGGTCCAGATGTCTACCACCTGTTGGTCCATCTCCAAAACCTAGGTATCCTATTACAAGAAATATGTGGATGGAGCTTCCAAGAAGGAAATCAAAGATGGATAGCTGAGCCAATTCCATAAATCCAAAAAGTTTCTAGGGCCCATGTTTACTACCAGAAAGCCTACTGCTAAGTTATCACCACTGTAATAATGTGAACCTTTTTGCTATTGTTGTTTGAGACAAGATATCACTTTGCTACCCAAGCTGACTTAAAAAAAAAAAATCTCTTTGTGTCTATATGAATGTTTGGTCTGCATGCACCTGAGTGCACCTGTGCGTACAGTGCCTGTGGACATTGGAAAAGGGCATCAGATCACCTGGAACTGCAGTTACTGACAGATGTTAGTTGCCACGTGGGTACTGAGAATGTAACCAGGTCATTTACCAGAGCAGCCAGTGCTCTTACCCATTGAACCATCTCTCCAGCCCCCTCAACCCCACAAGCTGGCTTTGAATTCATGACAATCCTTCCTCAGCCTCCCAAATGACACTATGCCCAAATAACAATGTGAGATGTTAAGAAGAGAAGGGGCCAGTGAGATGGCTCAGTGGGTAGGAGCACTTGCTGTGCAAGCCTTATGACCTGAGTTCCATCCCCAGAATCCACAATGGGAGGAGACTCCTGAAAGTTGTCCTTTGATGACCACACATGCACTATGTGTGTGCAGCTGCACTCTCTCTCTCTCTCTCTTTTCTCTTTCTCTTACATACATCATACACACATACATACAATAATAATAAATAATAAATAATTTAAAGAGAAGAAAGAAAGGAAAAATATTGGCTTTCATCTCTAGATATCATTTGCTAACTTCTGACCACTGATGCTGATCTTGACTTGAAGTCATCAAATGATAAGTCGATGTCATAATAAAATAGAACTGATCAGATAATCCAAGAAGAATAAATCTGATGAGACAGAGTCTCTCTGAAGACCCAGCTGGCCTGAAACTCACTAGGTAGACCAAACTGGCTTCAGTTTCACAGAGATGCACCTGCATCTGCCTCAAGAGTCCTGGACTAAGGCATGCAGACCCACACCCAGCAAGATCCAAGCTTAGGCCCTGAAAACAAATGTGAGATGGTGTTAGAAGAAAAAAGTTAGGAAGAAATTAACCAAACTAACTTGAAACAATTGGATTTTTAAAGAAATTTATTTTTAAGTCGGGCGTGGTGGCACAGGCCTTTAATCCTGTACTTGAGAGGCAGAGGTAGGTGGATCTCTGTGAGATTGAGGCCAGCCTCGTCTACATATTGAGTTCCAGGTCAGCTAGGGCTACAGAAAGACCCTGCCTCAAAAAGACCAAAAAAAAAAATTATTTTTAATTTTTATTGCGATAGACTCTTGCTACGGAGTTCAGGCACAGGCTCGACCCCCCCCCTTTGGGGGAGTATTTTTTGAGACAAGGTCTCCCTGTAACCCCAGCTGGCCTGGAACTCACTATGTAGACCAGGCTGGCCTTGAATGGATTCTTTTAAAACAATTTTTTTTACTGCATTTAGTTATTTATTTTAAAATTCTGTATGTGTGTGGCTGTGTATGTGTGCCTACAGATGCCAGAAGAGAAGCAGCGGATCCCTTGGGGCTGGATTTACAGTCTTTGTGAGCCACCCAATGCAGGGGCTGGGATCTAAGCTCTGGTTCTCTGATAGAACAGTTAAGTGCTCTGAACCACTAAGCCATCTCTCCAGACCCCTATTATATTTATTTGTGTGTGTGGGGGGGTGCATATGCCACATTTTGTATGTAGAGGTCAGAGGCGTTGGCTCTCTCCACCATGTGGGATCAAACCCAGGTCATCAGTCTTGGCAACAAGTACCTTCACCCTTCAAGCCACCTTACCAGCCCAGCAACAACATGTCACCTTTGTCACCTTTTTTCCTACTTCCTGCCCTGTTCATCTCCTTTTCTTCCAAGGTGCTGCTACTCTTCAGGCACTCTCTCTCCTGCCCCCCTGCTCTGAATATTTTGTTCCTGTTTTCACTGCCCTAGCCTCAGACTTCCTCCAGGGACCTCAAAACAGCACTCCCTCCTACATTCTGGGGAGGGTTTCCTAAACTATAGCCTCTGACTAGGCCAGCACGCTGAGGTCATTGCTCTCTCTGCCAAAGACTGGCCTGAGTTCAGCTTCCCCATCTGTCTGGGCTTTGGGGAAAACATGGTTGCTGCTCTGGGGTCTGCTGTATGCTGGGCCTGAGCTCTGCGGAGCATCTGCTCCCTTCATTCTTACTACCCCCACCCGCAGCCTTTTCACACGCTGAGGTCATTGCTCTCTCTGCCAAACGACTGGCCTGAGTTCAGCTTCCCCATCTGTCTGGGCTTTGGGGGAAACATGGTTGCTGCTCTGGGGTCTGCTGTATGCTGGGCCTGAGCTCTGCGGAGCATCTGCTCCCTTCATTCTTACTACCCCCACCCGCAGCCTTTTCTTCCCTGACTTTCCCTAGACTAGAATCACATCTGCTTTCTAGCCTCTAATGGAAGAAGGGCAAGTTCCCCGCCTGGCAAATCAGCAGGCTCTGGGTTTTGTACCCAGCACTAAATCTCAGAGGTGGGACACTTTCGGTCCCCTTGGAGGCGTGGCTTATGAAGAGCCATTTACTTATTTCTGACTATTTGCATTGGTTCCCTTTTCCCCAACTAGACTGAGCCACCTGCCTCTCTCCTCTCTTCCATCTTTTACTTTCTCCCTTCTAGTCTGTACTTCATGCGTGCACTCCTCTCTGATTCAGCTGATACATTAAAGATGCTCCCAATAGCTGGAAACTGACATGTATCTCTTGCATCTTAGAACCTTAGAACTTGACTTTCTGCAAGCGAAATTTGTCCCTCCAAAGTTGGGGTGTTGTAGTTGTTTAAATGTCCTCTTTGGTATAGGGAGCAAATATAAAGTTTTTCAGATTCCTGAATCAGGGAGAGTGTTATCTGCATGTTACTTGATTTGAGGAAAAAATATGGACAGAAAATAAGTCAAGAAGAATGATCTTGCCTCTCGATCTTGTTTGGACTTCTTATGATATTTTGTCTCTGAGAGTCCTGAATCTAAGGTTCTAAGA